CAATTAAACAAATGGGCATACAGCTTAATTGATAGAGAACTATATTTAGATAAGTAGGTTTGTAAAGTTAAAATTGAGAAACTAAAAGTTTTTAACAGGTTCACTATGTTTTGTACAAGCCAAGGGAAAAAAATCTGTCATAAGGTAAATATAGTGATAGTATCTTTACAACTTTATGCATAGCATAGTGTTAAGTTTTGCAATTAGATGAGAATCAACACTATCACTAATTGCATATTGCATTTGGCAATAAACAAATTACACACAATCTACCTAAAATAATTAAAAATTCCAAATCTAGATAATTTCATATAATTTTCATTTTTCTTTGCCATTATAACAAATATACTGTCAAAGAGAAATAGATATTGCAAGTCACAAAACTGGTTAGAAAAAGAAAAAAATAAATCTAACTTTAACCTTGTTAACTAATTATTAATTTTTTTTTTTTTTTTTACAGGTAAGAACATTTTAACATTGATTCACTTCTAAATGGTTTACAGTATGTTTAAAGATTCAAGTGCAACATGACATTTATGAGACAGATTTCTTTAACACTTCATATATTTCCTTAACTAAAATAAAGCAAAATTATCTAAGTAGTTGGTAAATGAGTCTTTCTGTAGCAATTTCACATTAAAAGAATTTAAATAGGATTGTAAATCTGAAGATTACTCTAAGTTTTAGTTCTTTTACTAAAATTTATTTAATTTCAAAATTCATTAATTAGAATTTAAAAAAAAGAAGAAATTTTTATTTTGTGACATGAACTAATAAATTTTTATTACTCCCCACTATTGTAAATTCTACAAAGAGACAATTTATCAAATGGTTTTGTTGGAACTGAAATTTGTATACAAAATTCTAAGCAATACTCTGTTTGGATTCTTTCAAGTAATTTGATTTCTCAGAGAAGAAATAGGAAATAATGTGACTAAAATGTGGGAGAGAAATATTTTGCAGAATTTACTCAATTTTTACAAGTGGTGTCCCAAATTATTAAGCTTGTTAAAGTAAGAGATAAAACAATAATTTAAAAAAGTAAATATTTAAGAAAAATTACAAGATAGGCTTTTAGTAATTTTTAAAAAAAATTAATAGATTTAAGATTAAGCTATTTGTGCATTTTCCCTTTCTAATTCCAAATTTAAGTTAAAAACTGAAGATATTTTTACAAAGCAAACTTATAAATTTCAAGATTAAAACAAATTACAACTTTATTAATTCCAGAATAAAATATTTTCAAAAACATTAATTGCCAAGAAAAATATAGTGCATAAAGTTGAAGACTGATAAGAACATATGTGAATAAATGTAATTTTAAAATCAATAAATTTTCATAAGTTAAAAACGCATGAAATTGGTTTAATTTTAATACTTATTTACATATTTAATTCCCAAAACCGATATTTTCAAATATTAAGATTTGTAATAAGCAAATGAGTAATTCATAATTTAGTTACATGTTATGCATTTGGATTTCTTACTGATGTGCTAAGTTGATAATATCCTATTTGTGAATTTAATATCAGGTCTACACCAAAACAAAATCCACACAAATCAAAATGTCCATCTTCAACCTTATCTTTTGTATGGACAATGTCTGCTGATATTTTTCATCCTTCGTATCATTTGGATAATCTCCAAAGTTTAAACAATGATTGAAAATCTACATCTTGTTTGTGAGTGTGCAAAATAATCGATAACTAGTAAACAAACTATTAAAGCAAGGAAATTCAAGTGGCCAATATTTTCACTATGTGTCCAAATAACTTAAACTCATGTAATTCAAAAATTAAAATTAGCAAGAACTTTGATCAAGTGATGATACAAATCATGGAGATTGAAACAATCAGAATTTTAACAAGCTACATTGACACAAGCATATGTAAAATAAAGTTTAAAAACCACACTGCATAGTGTTTATATAACATACAAATTGAATCATAAAAAAGACAATTGCAAAAACAAAGCAATACTACTACACCATTAGAAATTAACTTTTGCAAAAACTTTTTTAGTTGATCAAAATATAGGTTCGTAAATATAAATAGATTAACACATGAAAACTAACCATGTAAATTTACTGACCTAGTTTTAATATTAAAAGAAATAATTTCCTTACTTAATAAAATTAACTCCCTAAATTTGTTCTTGAAACCCTTTATAATTAGTGAACTAGATATTGTCATCGTTAAAAATAAAAAAAAAATAAAAGCACCATTTGATTATCCTACAAGGTTGGAATTAGAAACAGAAAAATAATTTCAAACATTATTTTCTGAAAATATGTATTTTCCTGATGCAAAGAATATGACATAATAGTGTATTGTTGTTTTTCATGTTTTCCTCATTTGTTTTCTATACTATTTGGTTTAAGTGTACTATAAGCAAGTATAGCAAGTTCTCACCATACTAAATACTTACTATATCTTTCCAAAGAGCACACAAACACACATGTAATATACAGAATTTTACAAAGTTTTAAAATAATTATGTAAGCATATTTAATAGTGTTAAGTTACACATTACATCTTTGAAACAAGAATATATTTCTTGATACACTTATTTATTTTAATAAAATCAGTGGATAAATCAAATCTATACTCTTGACATTCAGTAATGTTAATTATCTTCTCACTTCAGAAATGTCATGTAAGCAAATTTGTCAATTTGATGCACTTTTATCTCTTGACAAAACTGTAATCATATCTTCACTTTTCTTCTATGGCATCACAGAACTATAGCATTTATTTAGATCATTTCTTTTCAATCAGTTTGATAAATTTTAAAATATGCCTAATTAAACACTTAATGAATTTAGAATTATGGCTGAACTGAAAAAAAAAACCAGACACTTCCTAAAAGTTATGCATTTATAAGAATGTATATAAGATATATATGCAAAAGATAGTTATTCTATCAAAAGTGTGATTACTTTGATGATTTTTCTTTACACTAAAAAGTCACTTCAATAAAATCAAAGTAGGGAAAGCCAAAAATTACATCAGGTAAAAGGTTTATTATGTGTAAAATATGAAACAAAACATTTATTGAAGCTAGTAAACAGGTCCATATTTTGAACCATGCCAAAGAAAAAAAGAACTTTTAACATGCAGATATTGGTGCATAAGATACTCTCACAATATTAGTTTTGGTTTCAAGACCAAAGTCTTTTTTAGGTGGTTGATAATTTTCTTAAATTGATAAATCTAACTAAGCATTTTTCCTAATGACTGAAAATTGGCATGTTTTAGGTAACTAACTCTTGTTTGAGTTATTACAACATCATTCCTGGAATCATACATTTTAGTGATAATATTAAAAAACAAAGACAAACCCAGTTTGTTAGCTGTTTTAATTAAATGCAATCTATTTTCCACTCCCCTGAAATACATTAAAAAATATATCAGTGTGTGCTGTAATCTTTGTTTCACAACATTCACATTTAACTTCCAATCAGACTTCCTACACTTCCATTTTTGATTGTTCCAAATTTATTCAAACAGGTTTTAATTCAAAACTATGTTTATTATATATTCCATAATTTTCTGTTGCCCTTCCTTTGTAATTCATGATTAGAAAACTTGTCTTCGTAAAGCAGATCAGCTGAAGAACTTTTGATATCACTTTATTAAAAAATAAAATAAAGAAAATATTCATTTATTTCACAATTTGATTGAATGTACTTAAGTTTATGACCAATATCCCAAAAGCTGAACCATCCAAGAACAAAGTAATCTGAGTAAAAATAAATAAAAAATCATTTGTGTAAGCATGAAAAGGCGCTATTATTGTTTATTCAGGTAGACATTTTCAAATATCAAATACTGCCAGCATGGATCAAGAGAGCTTTGGATTGTTCAGGTTTCCATAGAAAAAGCAACCAAAATATCAATTTTATAAAAATAAACAAAATTAAAAAATTATGCTGAGTTTTAAGAGTATTTTATAAATATATAAATGACTCTTACTGAAACAAATAAAACAGTGGATTTCAGGACAATAAAACCATTATAAATAGATAACTATTATGAATAGTGAATAATAATGATATAAGTGTCTGTAGTTTTATTTTTTTGTGATGAAAAATAAATATAAATAAAAGGTCAAAAGTCTCCATAATTAACAATGATTAAATAGTTATTTCCTTTCAATTACCTAGTTTGGTCTTCCAGTTTAAAAAATATCTTTATTTGCAAGTATCCTTACATTAAAATAATGCTTAAAAATATTCAACAATTCCTGGTCCAACTTGACAAAAACAAAAAAACCCTGAAACAAAACATGAATGGTTAACTTACCCATCATTTGATGTTAGTAAGACACTAATCAAAACATTGTTTTGGGGGAAAAAACTAAGAGGGTTGGACAATATCTGTATAAATTACAATGCAGAGTGCCATTAACACAATAATTTATCTCACCAACCTAAACATTTTTGCAGCTAATATACAGAAGGGGGGGATGCTGAACTTGAACAGATGATACAAGAATTGAATTTAAAATATTTAACAAAAAAATGTAACAGATGATGAAATTGTTTTAATAGCAATAATCTTGAGCCCTATGATGTAATCTAAATTATGTTTTTATGGCAGGACCCAAGAAAACAATGTGTATTGACATACAAGGACTAATCAGCAATCAGATTGATAAAAAGTAACTTTTTAATATACAAAGAATTTATTGAACTAATTTTAAGATTACTTTTTTCTAGTAATTTTAGATTTCTTTTTTAAAAAGAATCTAATTAATGATAAAAGACATTCAACATTTTGTGTGTTCTGGTTGGATAAAATATAATGGTGATTTTCGGAGATTTGATTTTGTTAATTGAAGCTTCTGTCAGATTAAACAAGTCTTGTTCACTGATCAATTCAAGTTGTCATAGAATTAGAATATAAAAAGGAGATTCCCATTTATGGGAATTTTGTTTAATAATAACAAAGGTTTATAAATGAATACATTGAATACTGTGTAAAGTTTTCATTTCCAATTTAAATGTATTCAGTAATGAAGAGAAGGATTAGTTGATTGGCATAATTAATGGTTATTGGAGAGTAAAGAGAGGCTGAATGAGAAAAATAGAGATATACAAAAAAAAGAGGAAGCATAAAAGAGAAATAAAACAGAAACAGCAGAGAAATAGATAATGAGAAGGACACAAAATAGAAACACAAAGAAAATACAGGAAAAATAACAGTAGAAAATAATAGAAAAGTCAGAAAAAGATGTAGAGGAAAAAAAGAAAAGCAATTCTAATAAGAACTGGACACTTGCCTTGGCTTAACTCCTTGAATGATGCTAAAAATGAAAATTTGAAGATGAAAGCAGACAAACACAAAAATGCACACACATGATGCACGAAAATGAAAAGTGAAACAGAAAATAGACAAAGAGCATCGTAGAAGTTAGTGGATTAATGAAATACCTTTTCTCATTTGCAGATTTGTTAAAAGATGAAGGAGATGACTAACTCAACTGCAACAAGCACAGATGAGAGACACTATCTTGAGTGACAAAATGCAAGTGAAACATGGTTTGAGATGATATAATACAGAAAGCAATCTTAAGACCACAGCAACATAAGCTTGTTTTTATCTAATGAATCACTCTTATTTAATCTTTGCTTTTTAAACATTTTTTCCTCTACTGTATGTTGAATGTATTTTTGAATATATAAATTCATACACAGTAAGCTACACTGGTTAAGTTTGCAGTTAAATGGTTTTATTCACACTTAAAAGAATTACTATGAAGACAGTACGTACATATTGCAAATATAATCTAACAAAAAACAAACAAGAACTAAATATTCTTTTTGGGTTACAATAATAATAATAATACTGGAAAATAGATGCAAGCTGTAAGTATTAAGGGAAAATATTTTAATTAAATCAGATTTGAAAAGGAAAAAAAAATTAAAATTTTATGTATTAAATTATAAATAAAAACAAAAAAAAAAACAAAGTTCAGTTTTAGTCAGTTATATTAAAACTTAAAAAATAAAAATGAATAGTAAGTTACTAATTAATAATAAAAATGTGTACTTAAGAAAAAAAAGAATATCTAATTATACAAGTCAGATAAGATACATTTAATACAGAAATGAATAGTTAAGAAAGAAAAAACAGGGATTAGAATAACAAGACAATATTCACTTGAACCTCCCCCACCCAAGGTTTTTCTTTTTTCCTTTTTTTAAATATCCAATTTATAAGTTAACCCTTTATTCTTTGTTGAAGGGAAGCTGGAACTTTGTTTTTTCTTCCTCATCTTAAGACTTTTTTTCTTTTTAAAAATTCTTTCTCTATTTTAATTAATCACTTAAGCTGGAATTGGAGTCAGTCATGTGTACAGTCATTAGATGTTCCAGTAGGTGAACAGTTCTCGTAAGCACAATGGACTCAAACAACAATTTCCCAGCTGCCTTAAGTCCCTTAAAAAAGGAAAATAATGATAACAATTATAATTATAATAAAAAGAAATAGAAAATTAAATAGAATTACAAGTTTTGTTTTTTTTTCTTTTAAATACTCCAGTTTTTTTTCTCTATTCCTGGACAGAGAGAAATATAAATGTATGTAGTGTACTGTACATTTTCTAATAATTCATAATAACTATTACAATCATTAATACTTCTTGTTAGTAGAATAGCAGTAGGATCTTGTTGGCTATCTTATAGTGATGTTTGGTAGTTAAATTTCAGTTTTCATCATTTTTTGCAGTATTGTAAGCACTATAGTACTTGTGGTAAAAGTGGTTTGTAGTACTATCAGTAGAAGGGTAGTAGAAGTAGTGAAGTAATAATAGTAGTAGTTGCCATGGGAGCTTTAAAACTTCTTGCATCTTGTAGAAGAGTGTGATGAGAGATAAGCCTGATGGAGAGATACTCACTCAACGCCTATAGCCACCACCACCGCTGCCGCCGCCACCACCACTGTAGTTGCCATAGGGACCAGCTCCCCTCTGTGAATATCCGCCCCGCTTCATAGGGCCACCACCATAGTCGTTGCCATAGTTGGAACCAAAATTACTTCCACTGCTACCTCCTCCGCCACTACCACCACCACCACCACCCCATCCGCCACCAGTTCCACCACAGTAGCCATTGCCACCATAATCACCACCACCACCACCCCCTCCCTGATTCCAACTAGTTGGAGGACCATACCCACCACCCCCACTAGGACCATACCCACCACCTCCACCACCATAGTTGTCATAACCATTGCCACAGTAACTGCCAGGTGGTCCCCAGTCTCTACCACGACCCATAAGCATGCCCCCTCGGCCACCACGACCACCAACACCACCTCCACGCATCATGCTGTCTCCACCCATGCCATAGCCCACTGGACCCCCACCTCCAATCCCTACACCTGGTGGGCCCATGCCAGGGCCTCCTCCACTGCGCACTTTGTTCATTTCTTCTCTGGAGAGTGCTTTTTTCACCTCAATCTTCTTGCCTTTTGATTCAAAGAACTTTGTGAGCACAAGTTTGTCCACAGTGTCATAATCTTCAAATGTAACAAAGCAGAAACCTTTCTTCTTTTGAGTGTTTTTGTCGATGACCATGTCCACTGATTTGACCTCACCATAGGGGGAGAAGAGCTCACGTAGATCATCTTCTGTCACCTCTTCTTTGATTCCACCAACAAAAAGCTTCTTCACTGTAGGCTGCGATTCTACTTCATTTCGGGGCATGGCTCGTTTTGTCTCTACCTCCTTGTTATCAATTCGGTGTGGCCGATGAGCTTGGGCCTCATCAACCTGAAAATGTAAAGAAACAAACTATACAATATAGATAATAAAAAAAATATTACAAAATTATATTTCTGAACGATTTTAAACACTAAATATATTACTGAAAGAATATTTATATTTTATTACAGTGTCTGAGGTTTTTATGCATACTTTAACATTTTCTAAAGAATTAATGGATTTTTAATTTTTAAATCTGACATTTCCATTAAGTGTTATTTTTAGCAGATACTCCTATTTGAGTAGGCACTCCATATATTTTAAACAATATTTTATTTTCTTTAGTGTGCAGACCCTGTAGACAAAATAAAATACAGTTTTAAATAAGTGGAGCATGTACTCAAATACATGTATCCACTAAAAATAACATTTAAAGTAATAAAAATACTTCAATGTATAATTTTTCTCTCTGATTGTGTACCTATAAAGGAATTTAATAATTAGTGACTGCTATTCAGATTTTTAACAATGGAGCAACATTTAGTATAGACATTATCTGAAAGTGTCATACTATAAACATAGTTAGATCCACAAAATTGCTAAAAACTTAGCATACTGTGATGAAAAAATGCTTCAAACTTAATGAAAAAGTTTTATCATCAAAATCTTTATGTTAAGATGAAAGTATTTTTTGAATATTTAATTAAATTTTTTAATCCCTTTTAGAACATTTGAAATTGATTAAAAATCTTGTTTTACTTGCATCAGCAAATGCATTATAAATTAGAATAGCAAATTTTAGTGTTTTTTTTGCAGCAAAAGACACATTATTTGGAAATTATTTAAAAAAATAAAATAAAATAATTGTTGGATTTTAATGAAACTTTCAGGACTTATTCCAAAAATGAATGAATTAGTAATGTTTATTTTTAGAAAATCTTGGTAAAAATATTTTCCACCCCACTTTATGAAAACTTGAGAAATTCAGTATGATAATTTTCAGTGACTATATTAATTAATAGCAGAACTTGTTGGAGAAGTTAAATAATTTTTTATTGTAAAAATCGGGCCCCATCTTACCAAAAATCTCCTCTGAATCGTAAAATAAAAAATGCAATAAAACTAAGACTAATTGAATTAGAGAAGCTTTTAATTGCTTTTACAAATAATATATATTAAGGACAATATTGTCCTAAGAAAATATTTTTTTCAATGAAAAATGAATTTTTACAAGATTTGTTTTAATTTTTTTTACAATTTTATTAAAATAATTTATAATATTTTAAAATCTTTTAAAATTCAGTTTCAATGGTGTAACGCTTAGGAAATATTGTTATTAAGTAAAACTATATTTACTAATCATATATTGTAAAGCTTATGACCCCAAATATTTGTTTTTGTATGTGTATAAAATGTGCTGAATTTTATAGATAAGGTCACCCATACACAACATTATCAGAAAATAAGAGCAATAACTATACTAAATCTAGAGTCAAAATTCTTTAAAATTTAATAAAACATTAGATTATTGAGAATATTTTCTTGAATTTTTAAGATTACTGAGTACTTAAAAGGTATTTGCATTATATTCCACAATTTATTTTTTTTTATGGTTAACCAATGAACAACAGTAGATAAAAATCAAGCTGGTAAAATGCCGTCAACATAAATAAACAAACTATAGTTGTGTTAAAAAATGCATCTCTACAATATTTTAAACTTAAAGTAAATATTTGTTTCAAATCAGATTAATTATACTTTAAATTAGCTAATATTCCTCAAATAAATTTTCAGAAAAGTATATTTTTGGAAGATTTTTTAATACAGAGATTTACATTTTTATAACAGTTTGCTAAAAATGGCACTAAATTGAAAATTTTTTAGAAATTTCAAAATGAAAACTCCTTCCAATCAATTTAGTTTTGAAATGCAACATAGTGTTTTGTTTATTGGAAATATTAAATTTAATCTATCAGTTTGAAATTGAAACTAAAATAAAAGCTTCAAGAAAAACTTTTCATTAAAAATTCCTTTTAAACATTAGGTATTATGTTTTTGTGAAAGTACCTATATAAATAAAAAGTAAATAGCTTAGAGTTCCAAAATTGGCATATGGTTGAAGAAGTTGGGGTTATAGCATTTTATAGTACCTACAGTTGATATATTATCTGTTTTTTTTTTAATTTACAAAATTATTTTTACTTAGCAAAAAAGACTTGAAATAAACAAAAAGTCATTTCTTTCTTTTCTAAATTTGAAAAAGAAAATGATTCTAGCATATGGTAGAATGGAATTTATGTACAAGTTAAAATTTAAATAAACGTACATACACACTATATATATATATATATATATATATATCCTATGGATGAAATGAAAGTTTCCCATGAAAAGTCATACATTGTACAAAACCAATCCATGGCATAGTAAATTAGAAAATGATACCTAAGGTTTAGAATGAATTTTTAAAAATGAAAAATCCTTCAATAAGCTTTTATTTTAATTTTAAGGTAATAAATTAAATTTAATATTTACAATAAGATGTATTTAAAAAAAGAATTTAAATTGACTAGAAAGAATTTTTGTTTAGAAATCAATTATTTTAGCACCATCTGTCATCAAAAAATCTTTCAAAAATAAAATATACTTTTCTGAAATTTTATTTGAGGAATATTAGCAAAGTTAAACTTTAATTAATCTGATTTGAAACTAATATTACTTTTAGTTTAAAATATCACAAAAATGCATTAACATTAATGTGTTTATTTAAGGGGTTGATAGCTTGACAGAAGTTTATCTATTTTTTTTCTACAGTGGACATATCTATAAAAATTACTTGAGGAATATAATGTGAGTGCTATTTTTTCATATAATTTTTAACTACCCAGTAATCTTAAAAATTTAGGAAAATATTCTCTGTAATGTAATGATTATTCAATTTTTTGGCTTTAAATTCACTATAGTTATTGCTCTTATTTTCTGATAATGTTTTGCATGGACATCTATATTTTCAAAAATTGGCAGTTTATAAACACAGAAAAAAATTCAAAATTTAAAAAAAAATATTGGAGGGAGTGGGGGTTAAATCACCGATTTGTAGTAAGCTATTCCATTTATGATTAGTAAATATAGTTTTTACTTATTATCTAACTGGTACAAATTAATACAGAAGTTAAAAAAAAGAAAAAAGGTTTTTACTAAGATTTTCTTAAAAAAAAAAAAAAAACCTTTCTAAAATAATTTAATTCCTTTGTGAATAAGTAGTAAAATAAAATCCTACAATTATTTGATTTTTGCAAGAATTCCCAAATTAATCAATCAACACAAAAAAGACAAAATTTCCTATATTAATCTTGGCATATTGTTTTTTTTTCTTCTCAAGTCTAACCCCCATCCATTAAATACTGATTTTGGGATGGGGTTCTAACTGCTTTACACAAACACAGTCTTTTGTTGGCATTTATGATATGTGTGTGTATCTCCCTCCCTCGCACACTTAGAACCGATTTTTCTGTTACAAGTAATGCAGTTTATTGCTATTCCTATATCAGGGAAGATAAAGTGGTTTTGGCTCAATAACAAGCAACCAATTTTTTTTCTTAAAAGAAAAAAACAATGTTAATTTAACATTTAAGTAAATAAATAAATAAAAGCACAAAAAAAAAGGATTTAAAAAATATGCCAAACAAAATCTGTTGTGAATTTTTAGTATTTTTATACAAAATAACATTGTATTTGTAAAATACATTGTTTGTAAAATTGTAACACTAACTTTTTATCTTCATACCTTGATTTTAATGAAAGAAAGAAAGCAAATCCTTTTAAAACATTTATATTTTTCTTGATTGGATCAGTTATCCAAAGCAAAACTAACATTTCACGGTCATTGTAAAACACTAAACTCTAAATGAACAATTTAAAAATCTGTTTACTTCAAGATATATTCAATTATGGACTTTAGCATTTCTGAAATATTCACTACTCTCACCTTTCATGTATGGCAATTCATAATACAACCATACAAAAATAAATATCTTGATTAAAACTTAAATCTAATCTGCTCTTGTCAGCATTCTGTATTTATGCAGATTAATCTGATAATTATTTTATAAAACATTTTTCTTGTATTGATCTAATTACTGAGTGAGATGACAATAAGAAGCTGACATTATTGTTTTCTCAAATTAAGTGCTAATAAGCACATTCTTTAGTTTTATGCTTAAAATTCTCTTTAGATGTTAAATATGTGCTTTTACTAATTTATGATGTTAATAATGACAGAATGAATCTTGCAAGAATTTTTAATTAATACTTATAGTTTTGGGGTTTATTGGATGATTACTGAGTGACATTGAAAAAAAATTATTTTTCTTAAGAATTTCTGTCCATAATATATTTTATTCATAAAAATCAATTAAAAGCTTTTCTAATTAATTAGTTTTATTACATTTTTTAATGTTACTATTCAGAGAAGATTTTCTTTAATGAGGGCGTCCTATTTGACTAAAAAGAATTTCTGATTCATATTCTCCATGGACTTGTCCTTATAACTAATATAAACATTAAAATTAAATAGGAGAGGGTGGGTAACAAATGCAAAAGAAAAAAAAATTCCATTCATGTCAACAATTTCTGAAAGTTTTATTAAAATCCAACAATTATCTGAATTTCCAAATCAGTGTTTTTCACCACAAAAAAACACTCAAATTCCCCATACTAATTTATGGTCTCCTGCTGAAACAAGGAAAAACAAAATTTTTAAGGTATTAAAAAGTATTAAAAAAATAATTTATATGCCAAAAATTCCTTTGACATTACCTCTTAATAATTTGACAAAATTTTGGTTTTATTAAATTTGGGACATTTTTTTTATCATGCATGCACATTTTTAGTGAATCTGTGTGTGTGTGTATATATATATATATATATATATATATATATATATATATATATATATACACACACACACATCTTGAACATCATGAATTTACAATGGTTTACAGAACTATAAATTTTTCAACAAAGATAAAAAATATTGTAGGAAGTTGGTTGTGTAGGTCACTATTAGAAGGTAGATATTTATTCAAATGTTGATGCACTGGAAATAGAATCTCCAAGCGCTATAGTTAACCTTTGAATTTATTGAAAATAAAAGCCCAACTCCTGGAAATCGTATTTCCCAGTAAATTAACACGCATGCGTATTTCGTTTGGTATAATACATTTCTGTGACTGTCTGATTCTAATAATGGCGGCTTCTTGCATTACTTTTTGATTGGAGGAAAACAAACCCCCACCCACCCATTGAATAATTTTATCTGGAAGTTTCATAAAGTAGTTCCTGATGATACTCACAATACAATAAAATACGTAAATTTTTTAATGTTTCATTTGTCACTATATTTAGAAGAGATGATCTTTTTTTTCTTCTCTCTTTACCAACCAAGATTTAAAATTAAAAAGATCAGTTTGAATTATTGGTAAAAAAAATTTAAATAAATAAAATACGGGATAAATTATTGCGAATAAATTGTTACTAACACAAAAACGATATTTTGTTCCATTTTTGTTTAACATAAGAAAAAAAATGCATGACGTGCTGTCAAAAAAGAAGACAAAAAAAAGGTATTTGAATTGAAAAATGTAAACGATTTTTAATTTTAAGTAAGATTATTACATACCGATGTGTGTGTTTTTTTTTACACTACAGTTTGTTGAATTATGTAACGATTTCAGTGATCACAGTTGTGATATTTTATCTCTAACACATATAACAATATTTTAAACGTTAAATCCACCCACACATTCACGCAATAAACACAAAAATGTTTTTATAAGTTACTCATTTGCTTAAGAAAATAAACAATTGCACAACTGCAAGTCAATTTTCCCTTAACAGCTCTAAAATTAGCATTATTTTCATTTAGTGAATATAAAATAAAAAAGGAATAGTAACGAACAAATACCTAGTTTGGAGAAATTAAAACAAAATTTTTTAAACTTCACGTTGATTTTTTTTTTACTATCTTGTAAATGTTGTTAGTGTTTAAGTTTACTGTTTTTCTTTGTTGAACGTTGAAGTTAGAAATTAAGAGAAAATAGGTAACATTTTTAAATATTAACATTTTGCATTATTAAATTCGTAAGAGATTTTTTCTTCAAGAATTAAAAAAAAAGTCTTATGCTCAGCTCAATTACTTGTTTTTTTATTAATTTAAAAAAGTGTAATTTTATATTTTGATTAAAAAAATCATCCAGAGAAATCAGCACATAAAACACTAGTATTTTTCTGTGATATACAAAAAAAAGAAAAGAAAAAAAAGATAATATCTTGCTCATCTCAAATCACAAGAATGCAAAAACTGAACAAGTAAGGAAATGGTATAGTGTAGCAAGATTTTTAAATTGAAAGCAGTCCACAAAAATGGTGGATTGGATAATCATAATGGTAAATATCTTTCTTCGACTTTATAAACTAAAATCAAGGCCGATCATTCGCGTATGCACTGCTGATTGGCACAGAAAACAAAACTCTTTTACGAGAAATATCTGGTAGATAATTAAAAAACGAACCCCGACATTGTGGTCGCCATGATTGTGAGATTTTCACAGAACACATGGACGTGGCCGGTATTTGGAAATTAATGCACAACTTAATAAGGCACGGGGTCATTATATTTGGTAACAATAAGAAATATATGAAATATTCTCAAGCTTAGAAATCTAATTCCGAATTTACGTACTTTGATGGTTTACTCTTCTTAACGTTGCATTTACGCAAAAATAAATAAAGAGACTGTTAGCGTATTTGAATCTAAGGGGAAATTACTACTATTAACTTACCTGGTCTACTGTCTTGTAAGTGATAAAACCAAAACCCCTCGATTTCTTAGAGTTAGGATCCCTCATGACAATACAATCAATCACTTCACCCCACTGGCTGAAATATTTTTTGAGGCTCTCCTCGTCCGTAACATAGTGCAGGCCTCCGATAAATAGCTTACAGAACTTCTCCGTATCATTTTCCCTAAACCTTCCTCCCCGTGACATGATGGCGACGCCGCAAATCCCAACAACTCTTGCTCGCCCCCCCCTCTTTACTACATCATTTACTGACGCTTGCCCCTCTCTATTTCAATTGTTATATTCCTCCCCTTCAAAACGCTTGTATTCCTAATACTTCCTATCAGTTTTTACATTTCTGCTATTTCATTTATTTACTCCACCTTTTCTTTCATACTGTCAGCCTCAGCTTTACTCTTTCAAGCGCATATTATTTTTCTATTTTTACTCACTCTCTCATTTTTATAGGTTGGTGTTTACTGTTTATCATTTACTTTTCCATTGTCGATGGATTCTTTGACTTGTTTGCGTAAATTCGCATTAAAAAAAAACAACTCGTTTGCCATCGACTCTACAAGTGCTGAATACGCTCTTGATTTCAAGTTCATAATTTTCGTGTACTATTCAGTTCTAATTCTGTAAAAATTCTATCTGGTGCATCCTGCTTTCATTTTTTTTTTTTTTTTTAAAACTCTCTCAACTTAAACTTTCGCTGAATTTGTTCTAGCTTTTGCTTGAGTTGAGCGTTTTAGATTTGCACTCTACAGAATAATAATCTATTATTGCACGTTCTATCTCTACTGTTCCTTTCTTCATTACAGGGGGGGAAAAGTTTGTCACCTAGATCTCCCTTGCGACTCCTTACAATTTTTACCTGTCGGAGTTAGCTCCTTAATTCACTAGGGGTCGCTCTCCCTACACTATAAATACTGGGTGACTTCTTTTCTGGGTCAGTGGTTGTGGCTAGCTAAGTTTTAAAAATTAAGGCAGATGATGACTGTCCTTTTCCACTCCGCTTTTTTAGGCCTTGTGCCACATTTTCTGTATTTTACAGAAATAAATATTCTTTTCTACTTTGCATTTCAGCGGACACATTTAAAAAATGTAATCTCGTAGAAATCCGCGTTTCGCCCACTTGTGGGAAAACGCCAACGTACGAACATTCACTAAAATACAAACTCTTTACGTTCACACACAAACACAAATGTTAATGTCTTTGTCACTTGTAAATTTGTTGTTTAATACATATATTTGTTAACATATATATATATCGGTCTTGTTTGTTTTCTTTACATCTTGAACTCAACTTGAGTCCGCCATTTTCTTGTAGTTGGACCTTCTAGCATGAATAAACAGCACGTGTTTCTAATTTAACAACACTTACCCCCCGGTCCTCTACAGATTGGTGACTTCCCGACGTGATTTTTCAACTCCTGCTAACAGAAACAAGACTGTATATATGTACAAACTCACATTTATACACACTTTCCAAACGAGAGCCAGTCAGGAAAAACATTGAAAAACTTCTTTTTCCTATCCTACAACGCACGCCGTACACTATTAATCCCCCCCAATTTTTATACAGCAACAAAATTTGTGATTAGACCAGATGAAAGTGCAAAATCACAATTTTAATTCGCTACAATATGTCTATACAAAACACATATCTCCGGTGCGGCAAATAGAATTTTTCTACAAAACGTGGAAAGTCTTAATCGCCACTAGAATGACTACTACAATGGAAAGGTTCAGTATGCAACAATACACAGGCACCTTCTTTCCACTTGGTCTATTAGCTTGATCTTTTCTTTCTTGCGATGACGTTTGACCCAATTTCACCCATCAGACATGCTTAAACATATATTCTACACCATGTGCGACATTTCACACCACTGCTTATCAACATTGCTTACCATGTCTTTAATGTACAAAAGTTTTCTACGCTGAAGAGATTAAGTGTGAAACAATCTTCGGACGACTCCTTGTCCTTGAAATTAAATTCTACGCGACGCAATCTTCGGACGACCCATTGTCCTAAAATACATTCTACGAAGCAACTTTCACATAAAATTTGCTGACGATATTCACTAAATATTACTTAGTTATCACTAATAAGCAAATTTTTCAACTTCGCCACGACGTTCTCACTTCAACATAAATCCGCATGCATTCTACAGTACACTACTGAATTTACACAGAGCATTGGAATTAAAGCACGCATTTAAACACAACAGCTTCGGCTAACAGCAATTCACGTGTACACATATTCACTCAGACTGCGCTATACATTCACCCCGAATATAATTTCAGCACCCTGACAACGCACATACTTTCGGCGATTTTCCATCTGATAACATTTCAGAAATCACGTTCAACTTCAACCATTTTGGACAGTTTCTTTATTTAGTTTATAGCTTTTTACATATTAAAATTTTCGTTCCTGCAACTTTCAATCTGAGAGGGGTATTGTCGGAGTTAGCTCCTCTTTAATTCCCTAATTGTTCACTAGAGGTCGCTCTCCCTACACTATAAATACTGGGCGACTTCTTACCTCGTTCTCTTTTCTACTTTGCATTTCAGCGGACACATTTAAAAACTTGCAAATTTGTTGTTTATATATATATATATATATAGGTCTTGTTTTCTTTACATCTTCGGTTGGACTCAACTTGAGTCCGTCATTTTCTTGTAGTTGGACCTTCTAGCAGGAAAAACCAGGACGTGTTCCTAATTCAACAACTCGCAAACCCACACGGTCCTCTACATACCTTTTTGTAAAAAAAATTTCCTGAATTCATTTAATTTTATTTTTGTCTTTTCTACTTTTTTCTGTCGATAGAATTGACTTTTTATCCTATCTTACTTCTCTTTTCGACACCATTTTCTCTGCATCCTAATTCAAACCAAATACATTTTAACCATTGTCTACTCACTATTTACACTTTACATTTTTATTTTTTCACGACGTAAATTCATTCAGTTTTAAACTTATGGTGTTCTTTACTAAAGACCAAGCCATAATGCAACTCCTGCCAACTCAAATCTCGTCATCCCACTTTCTTAGTTTCGGTTTTATAGCAGTCAGCTTAAATTTTTATTTTTATATTTGGAATAATTTTAGATTAACTTTTTAAGTATAAGATTTGTTTTATTTCTTTCGGACTTGCTATATTTTGTTTACATTGCCAAAACTTTTTCGTGCGAAATTCACTAAAAATTGTAATTTATGAAGCTTTGTTTATTTTAAAATTAATTGTGCATTTTTTATTTAAATTAACTTGAAATTTTTAATAAAAGCAAATACACTAAATAATTGCAAGACTTACTTTTGCGTCTGTATTTCTGTTTCTAACAAATGGGGGGGGTGAATTTACCACGTCTCTTATACTGAAATGTAACATTTTCATTTTACTTGATCTGAAAAATTACAAATATTCTTCGATTCTGCTTTTACACTGCGAAATTGGAAAATGCTTTTGTTACATAAAGTCAATTTAATATTTTTCTGATAACAAATATAAATGTGATTGCGTTTTTTTTCTAAATGGTTTTTATTATAAACAATTTATGCTATAAAAGTTAAAACTAATGTAAAATTAAAATGCCATAATTCGATATTTTTAGATTTTGTAAAAGTTACACAAAAACGTTAACCTTGTCCTTATCCCACGCATTTTTAAGTTAATTTTTTCCCTACTTTTACAATCATAACATATTTATAAGTCAGCACAAGTTACTTTATTTCTAAACAATTTTTTTTCTCATAAAAACTGTTGCAATGTGGATGATTAAAATTCATGTACCATTTCGTACATCCTTGTTAATGGGTGGGTGGGGGTTAGAAGTGACTGATCCAAAGCTCCACCAAATTATATTAAAGAAAAAAATGTATACCAAGAAAAAGGATTTATGGAATTAACATTTAATTCCATTTATATTTTACGCGCTACGAGTTTCCTCCCTTTGTTTTACACTCGTGCGTGTGCGCGCGTTTGACACCTTTTTCTGTCTTTTTAGTCTAATACAGTAGTAACTGTTTTTGGTCAGCAGTCAAGACGAGCTGCTACTTCTACTTATGCAAATTAGACTTTTTGAATTTTTCCCGCGCGTTTTTCGGCGTTTTTAACGTTTGCAACTTTGATGGGTAACTCATTTTATTCCGTGCCCTTAATCCATATGCGGGCCGGAATATCTTATTTTTTTACAATGTCGAACCCTCTACCAAGACTTTTTCTCCTTTTGAAGCTGCCAACAGGTCGGACCTTTTTCCGTTTTCTACCAGAAACGTTTTAAAAAATGTATGAACGAACAAATTGCTAAAAGGGATTTCTCCGTTTTTCAGAAGACGTTTTGAATTACACTGTCGTCGGCAGAAACTTAAATTTTTTTTCTTTGCTTCGAACCAAATTTCTTTGAAGAAAACAACGAACTACAAGACCTGCAGTCCAATTTCCGAACATTCTTTATAACTTTGAACCTGTGCATTAAAAATATGCATAAAAAACTTAAAATATCCACAGTGAGTACTCCTTTCTATCTGTGGAACATTCTTTTTTTTCCGGAACTGTATAAACTTTCTTTTTCCCGCTTTGGCCATCTTGTATTTCTATTTTGGCGCGGAACATTTTTCATTGATCCCCTACCTTGAGCTAAGTTACTTGTTACTGTTTTAATTAAATTTTGGGATGTCTTTGTCATTTTTATTTCGGCTATCTTAATACCATTTATTGCACTTGTTGATTGACCCTTTCCTCTCATTGTTCATTCACGCATTTTTTACTTATTTTTTATTTGCTTGTATCAGAACAACATTTTAGTAATAAACCAGCACTGCACGCTTTGCAACAGATTAACTTTTCGAATGTACTTTTAAATTTTTTTTTCTTTGACTTTCTTAAGCAACGAACTCCTGCAATCCGAAATGAAAAACTTTCGCTCCTAGTGGAACGACGAATTTTGGGATGGAATTGGAATTCTGGGTGTAATTTGCGTCAGAACACTATATCGACTCTTTTGCGTATAGTGGTGTGTAGCCGCAGGTATGTCGGTCTACTCATGTGAATCAA